TGTGGGGCTCGATCCCAGGACCCTGAGATCATGACCTGAGCCGAAGGCAGAGGCTTTAAGCCACTGAGCCACCCAGGCGACCCGAGTGTTCTAGTTTTGACAAACATAAGTTCTAAATTCCAATTTATTTCAAATTACTAATATTGTCCTTGATGTTGGAAACTGTTTTGTCTTATTTAAGAAATATTTGCCTACTGCAAGGCAGTATTCTATGCAACAACAAAATACAACAAACATGTTCTCCTATGTTTCTTACAGAGCTTTACTGCTTTACCTTTTACAATGATATCGCGAACCCACTTGAAATTCCTTTGTATGTATGGTAGAAAGTGGGGGTCAATGTTTGCTTTTCCCCAGTGGACAATCAACTAATTGTGTACCACTTACTAAATGGGTTGTAGTTCCCACTGCTTCCTTTGGCACAATTTGAGTGCCCATATGTATGGTTTTGTTTCTACACAGAGATAGCAATCTTGAATTTGGGACTGTCAGCGAGAGTTTAGCAACATTTTAGTAAGCACCTGCTTCATTTTAAATGACTGCAGTTATGGATAAATTCCAAACCTCCTTGAGGTTTCTGACATCTCCATTAGAGTCACATGCATACCATTCATCTTCTCATGATGAAGTTGCCCTAATAAAAGATTTAGGGTTGACCACCAAGATTAGGTGTGCCTTTTTAAAATCATAGTTGCTATCAACTCAAGAGGTTAATTTCCTACCATGAACTCCATTTAACACAGGAAGACGTTAAGGGTATGTGAATAAAAATTATATACTTAGGATCATAGAAAGAGTGAGGTTTTGAAATATAGCAGTTTTAAAAACTTGGATTCTAGGACTATAATCCTTAGGTTAATATTATAATCATGTCACCTAAAAGTTATACATCCTTAGACAAGTCACATAAACCATCTGTACCTCATTTTTCTCTCTAGCCAAATGGAGGTAATTATAGCGTTTTATGGGTTGCTGGGGTGGCTCAGTTGGTTAAGCATCCAACTCTTGGTTTCAGCTCAGGTCATGTTCTTGGTGTCATGAGATCAAACCTTGTCTCAGGGTCCATGATCAGTGCAGAGTCTGCTTGAAATTCTCTCTCCCTCCCCCACCCCGACCTTTCCTTAAATAAATAAATAAATAAATAAATAAATAAATAAAATCTTTGGGAAAATAATAGTGTTTTATCTTGGGAATAGTTATGTAAAATAACATTATTGTTATTAATTTTATCGTTACGATCATACAATCAATGGAGGTAGAGAACAACTCTCAGCATGCAAATATAATTTATTATCAGTGTTTCTCATCCCCTCAGGACTCTTCACTTTTGTAAGATTTTATTCTGAGAATCACAGCATGATCCAAACTGCGTTTTCATTACAGCTCTGTGTCTGAAACCAGAGATCAAAAATGGAGATCTGTCTGTGGATAAGGACCAATATGTTGAGCCTGAGAGTGTTACTGTCCAGTGTGACGATGGTTATGGTGTGATTGGCTCTCAAAAAATCACCTGCTCAGAGAATGGCATCTGGTTCCCAGCGGTGCCCAAGTGTAAGTGGGTAAGTGCCACACATTTCAGGATGTTCTGTCATGTTCTAAAAATTGTAGCTGGTATCAGAGCCCTGTCAACCAACATTAATGAAATCAGACTTGTATCAGGACCCACGCACGAGTTGTTTAAATCACGTTGGAAATCATCCTCAAAGCACTTGGTGAGCTCTTTTCTTTTTTTTTTAAGATTTTATTTATTTATTTGACAGAAAGAGAGAGATCACAAACAGGCAGAGAGGCAGGCAGAGAGAGAGGAGGAAGCAGGCTCCCTGCTGAGCAGAGAGCCCGATGCGGGGCTCGATCCCAGGATCCCGGGATCATGACCTGAGCTGAAGGCAGAGGCTTTAACCCACTGAGCCACCCAGGCACCCCACACTTAGTGAGCTCTTTAAAGTGAGTTCTAATTCTCTCATTTTATACTAAGAAGAACCAAGACTCTAGAGAGGAGGGCTCCCTAGACCTAGGTGACCTGGCTCCTGGCCCTGTGTTTTCTACAATATGCACTATGCTTTTGCACAGCCATCAGAACTGTTCCTTCACTTGCCCCTGAAGGAACCCCATGGGTGTCTTCTGCAGCCTTCCTCCTTCCCTGCTTCCACAGTGATCCACCACACGTGAAGAGTGCTGGTGTAGCGCTGGGCACGCCGCTGACACAGAGTATCTTTGGGTTTCCTCCACCAGTCCTGAGGATGGGCAGGATCGTCTAATTTTCCTGCCATCGCTAAGGCATCCTGAACACACCCTATACTTTCACAGCTGGAGAGGTCTCTACCTCTATCCTTTTATGTCTTGTAGGAATTCCAGATGGGCTGTGAGCAAGTGCTAGTTGGCAGTAAATTCTTCCAGTGTCTCCCCTACCCAGATGATGTGAAAAAGGCCCTGGAGATCTATAAGTTGTCTCTGGAGATTGGACAACTGAGCAAGAGTGAGAGTTGAAGAGAACACCATTTTGAAACCAGCACATCCACCCTCCCCACCTTCACAAAAATAGAGAATTAGGTACATTTCTCTCATTAGCAACTCTACTAATCCTTTCTTAAGAACTGTATATTGGAAAAAAAAAATACCCGTGTTAGGAAAATCTGTTGATACCCTTAGTGCCACCGATACTGTGGAGCTGTTGATTTGTACCTTCGCTTAGCCTGTGCTTCTGCCGTCCTGGCCGAGGTCCAATGACAGAAATAAATAATGACAAAAATCCAGTGTTTTAGGAAGCCTGCTTCCCTTCCTCTCTCTCTGCCTGCCTCTCTGCCTACTTGTGATCTCTGTCTGTCAAATAAATAAATAAAATCTTTTTTAAAAAATCCAGTGTCTTTGTTTTCACTTTGATGCCTATATAATGAAAAACTAGGGCCCTATACCAGTCACTTCCTGATGTTTCTCTAATTAACTTCCTTTTCTATTTTACTGTATCACAAGGTGAATGTAGTCCTTGCAAATGTAAACTTGTGCCTTGTCTAAGGTGTCTTTACCCCACATCTTCATGTCCTACCTGTCCCTCACTGCCTTGGCCAAATATCACATCTTCCTCCAAGTCTCTTGCTTGCTTTTTTTTTTTCTTTTTAAAATGTTTTATTTATTTATTTATTTGACAGAAAGAAAGAGACAGTGAGAGAAAGAACACAAGCAGGAGGAATAGGAGAGGGAGAAGCAGGCCTCCCACTGAACAGGGAGCTGGAATCATAGACCCAGGACCCTGGAATCATGACCTGAGCCAGAGGTAGACGCTTAACTGACTGAGCCACCCAGGCGCCCCTCCTGCTTTCTCTATTTGATCACCAGTATTTCTCTAGAACAACTTCTTACTTCTTTACATTTGGTTTTGCTCAATATCCTTTCCACCCAATATTAACTACATCAAAAGTCTTTGAAAGCCTAATCTTTGTGTCACCCAACCCTTGAGTATGGCCAAGGCTTCCAACTCTTTTCTTCATATTTCAATTAAAACGACTTTAGTGTCTCTCTTAGACCAGATTCTCCAGAAGCAGACCCTGAGGAAAGGGTTCATGTGCAAGTAATTTATTAAAGAAGTGTTTTAAAGAGAAACAGGAAAAGGAGTGTGGTGAGAGGACAGGACAGGGAAGGAGCCTAGGACTGTGATGGGGCCAAGTCCTACAGGAAGTGGCTTAGCCTTGTCCCCAAAGGGAACTTTGGACTATGAATTTGCTTACATTTTGTCCCAATTCCAGGTAAAGGAACTGGGTGAAGAGCTACGTGGGGGGAGGGACACACAAGTTCCTAGGGCATCCAGCTCTCTCTGGGGGACAAAACTGTCTAGCAGCCTGAGAAGGCTAGACCAACAGAAGAGAAGGTAGGACCATGAGAAACCAGAACCCATGGAAAGCAGCAGAGGAACACACAAAAATGGTAGAAGGGACTGAGGGGCCTGGGTGGGGCTCCTCAGGGCTTATCCCTCATGTGTCCCTCTTATAGCTCTGGATAGTCTTGGAAAACTTGTCTTTCTGACAGTCACCTCTTCTTCTAAACCTTCACCTCCTCTGAAGTCTCATTTCTGTTCATGCTGACTTACACTGGCCTCTGCTTCTCCACTACATCTTGATCTATAATAGAGAAAATGGCCACTTTTCTTTGATTTCTTTAAAACAGTCATCACATGAGAAAGCTTCACAGCTGACTTATTCTAAAGCTTTGGAGTTAACAGAGGGGCGATATGGCTGGGTACACAAGACAGGACTTCCACATTGAATGTTCCAGAACTGTGATCTTAAAAGACCATTGCCTTGGGGTGCCTGGGTGGCTCAGTGGATTAAGCCTCTGCCTTCGGCTCAGGTCCTGATCTCAGGGTCCTGGGATTGAGCCCCACATCGGGCTCTCTGCTCAGCAGGAAGCCTGCCTCCCCACCCAAACCCTCTGCCTACTTGTGATCTCTCTCTCTGTCAAATAAATAAAAATAAAAATCTTAAAAAAAAAAAAAAAAGACCATTGCCTTTCCCTGTCACCAGGAATATCTTCTGGCTGACTTTCTTTGCATGACCTTGTCAGTCTCCAGGCTTTTCCAGTCTGCCATTTTCCCTTCTCAAATCTCTGCTTGTCAGACTTCATCTGTTGTTGCTCCCGCTGCCCCAGAAACTCATTTCCCCTCACTTTATTAGGGAAGGCATTTTAACTCATCATCTTTCCCTAGTCTCAGGAATTTTATATCCAAAAATTCATGAATGTACTCAAATAAGCCAAACGCCATCCATTCCAGATCTGGACACCAAGCCATAGAGAAGATTCAGAAGAGTCTCTGCAACATGAGTCTTTCCATATTTCCTGCCCTGCAGTTTCTGGAGGGCGGTGTGGAGACACTTTCGCACTGATGTGAATTGTGCCACAATCTTTATATTTGTTAATTCCAGTTAATTACACATAATTATAATTATAGAAGTGATATATATGTATATATGAACAAGAATCCAAGCCTTACAAAGGTATATATAAAAAATGAAAATGAAATTCTTCTCTCCTTCTGCCTAAGTCCTATTGTTTTGAGTTTTTCTACTGGCTAGCTTAATCATTCTGAAGAGGAAGCACACACTATGTCATTTGACTTTTTCTCTCTAAAGAATGTATTTTGATTTCCTGCTACACAATGATCAATCTAGCTCTTTTTCCCCACCTCTCTCTCAACATCGGTCAGTCTCATGTAATTTTATTTTCTCTTATTGATGACTTATCTTTATGGCTTTATTTTTTTATCTTTATGGCTTTAAATAACTTACTTAAATCTCTACTATTTATGCAACTCTAATTTTTAGTAATTTGCTATTTTCCTAAAGTAATACAAGCAAATAATTAAAAAGAGTCAAATAATCCAAAAAGACTTGTAATGAAAACTCCAATAGTTTGACACACTCAATCCATCCCTTGGCCTTATGCCTCCAAAATAACCATTTTCAACTATTTAAGGTCTTTCTTAGGATATTTATCTACAGATTTCCAAATGGCATTCTCACCCTTCTTATGTTTATTTATTATTTTTCAACATTTTGTATCAACTTACTATCCAGAAAAAAGAGAGTTTAGGTCCTTTGCAGTACCATCTTTCCTCAGTGTCGTTGTTTCCCACTCTTGATTAAATTAACCTTCAGTGTTTACCTCATTATGACTGAGCAAATCGCAATCATTGCTAACAGTGATTACTAACACAGTAAGCCAAGTAATGACTTCTGAATCTATTTCCTTATAAGCGAAGGCTTTAATTTTTATGACTTGAATATTTTATCTTGCTTTTGGCTTAGTTTCCTGCTCCTGTTGCTGACTCTTGCTACATGCCCCAATAGATCTGGCAATATATTTCTGAATATGCTGAGACATGTCAGATACAATTTCAGTTCCACTCCTCCCCGTGCCACCCCTCCTGGAGATTTCCTTTCCAGGCCCTCTAGTTAGTGGCTCTGAAATGAATTGTTGTTTACTTTTAAAATCTTAAGTCTTCCCTTGGCTGCACTTTTCATTAATTTGGTTCCAAGTTTTCATGTATTTTGGCTTATTTCCTCATCTTTTTTAGTGCTAAGAAAAGGTGCCTGGGAAGTAACATCTTTACAAGTGTTAAAAAATTTTTTTATTTTTTTTTCTACCCTCACAGTTAATTGATAGATTACTTTTATGTAGAAGTCAAGGTTCTTTCAGAATTTTGAAAGTATTTCTCCACTGTTCCTCACCTTCTGGTGCTGTTATGCAACAGTCCATGATATTCCAATCCTTAATACAGTGTTATTGACGCCCTTCCCACCCCCTCACTGATTTTAGTACCTTCTCTTTATCTCTGTGGCTTTACTGTGGGGTGTTTTTTATGCATTCACATGGGTACCTTCTGGGATTTTTTAAATCTGGAAACACATGTGCTTCAGAATTTAGAAATTTTTTCCATTATTTTTTTGTTTTATTTTGTCTTGCCTTCTTTTTTTCCTTCTACCTCCTGCCCCTGGAACTCGCTTCAGTAAAATATTGTTTTCACCTTTTCTACCTTACTTCCAGTATCTTTTTCTTTGTGTTCTACTTTCTGGGAGATTTTCTTGACTTTGTACGTTAAGACCTATATTGAAGTTTAAAATCTATTATTCCATTTTAATTTCCAATAGCCTGTAGTTGTCTCTACATGTTCCTTTTAAATGGTATCCTGTTCTTTCCTTATGGATACAATACAATTTTTTCTGTCTCTGAAAATATTACATATAGTGTGGAGTTTTTTATATTCTCTGCTTTCTGCTCATAAGAAGGAATGAGACCCCAACATATTGGCTAATGTTTCTGTATGAATGAGAAGGTTTCTCTAATGGTGAACTTCTTTGTAGCAAGATGGGCAACAAGTTTTAACTATTTGTATGTTTGTTTTATTTTTAAATGAGACATGTCTTTTCTTTGGGGATTCTTAGTGTCTCCTGAGATTTCTGTAATCCCCTCTGGATTGATCTATCAAACTCACTCTTTTCTCTTGAGTTTCTTTCTTCCTTTCTTTCTTTCTTTTTCTAAGATTTTATTTATTTGAGAGAGAGAGAGAGCGTAAGCAGAGGGGAGGCGTAGAGGGAGAGCGAGAAGGAGACTCCCCGCTGAGCAGGGAGCCCAATGTGGGACTTGATCCCAGGACCCCGGGATCATGACCTGAGCTGAAGGTAGACTCTTAATCGACAGAATCACCCAGGTGTCCTTGAGTTTCCACTACTTATGTGTACCATGTAAAATAAAGAAATGAGTGCTTCTAAGTTTGTATCCAATTGCATTGGATACAACTTCTATCTACATACTATTATTTTTATACTGCTCATTTATAGCTCATTGATTCTTTTGAACATCTTTGACCACTACCTACTGAAGACAGAACTAACTTTTGCCATAGAGTACACTTACTATTTCATTGTGGGCTTTGTTCACAATAAGTGTCCAATAATCATTTCATATAAGGATGTTTGAAGTTCCATGAGCTAAGACCTAGTACGAAAGATCAGTTCTAAAAGTTTTCTGCTGAATGTAATTCCTTCTATGGGACCAAAAACAAGTGGTCTGTTTCTTTACTGGG